CTGACGTTTTCGGAGTTCTGACATCCAAGCCTTCAGCGGACACTCAGCGATATCAACCCCGACTGGAAAGCTTATCCTCGGCTAGTGCTTCTGACGTTTGCCGCCGGCTCTGATCTCTCTAGTCTAGTGGATAAACCTTGACGTATAATTCGTCTTGTGTATAAGTCTATCTTTGGTCTCATTAAACTATAGTTTGTTCCATGGCGCAAAAAAAAAAAAAAAAATAGTTTTTGAGGTTTCATGTCAACAACTTTTTTTATATTATCTTCACTATATGAACAATAAAATAAAATGACATAACCCTGTCTCTGTTTGATAAATGTCAATAAAAATCAATGTTTCATATTTTTAAAATGAAAACAAAAAGATAATGTTCATTTTGTTATAAATATATGCAGTGAAGAGAATCGCGTTGCCTGAACCACATGGCCATTAGGCTAATAGGCTATGTTGTTTTTTGTTAATGAAAAGAGTCAGAGGGGTGTTTTATAACATATTTCGTTTTATTGTTGACAAAAAGATGCAGAGTTGTAGCAAATTTCGTTTTATTGTTGCCTAAAATATAGAGTAGAGCGTGCTGAGTGACGCGATCAAGTACGCTCTGTTCCATTTGCAGAAAAACCGGACTTGCGTCCTCGCATCCTCGGGAGTTCGTTCTCCGGAGTCAAACTTGCAAGTCTGGACTACCAAGGACGCAAGTCCGAAGTCTGCGTACTTGGTATTGAGAAACGCCTACTGATTCGCGCAGGCTCGACAAAATGCAATGTAGCTTTTGCTCGCGCTACACCGCTACTTACTGCAAATATTAGCTACTGGAAAAGCTACACTGTTTAAAAAGCAACTGAGCTACTGCCAAGCTACTGAAAAATGTAGTTAAGTTAGTAGCGTCACTACTTGTAGTTTTTTATTTATTTATTTATTTCACACATACATCTTCATTTTTTAAATACAATATTACAATAGTAACAGGAAGATTATTGTGTGAAAAGGGGTAACCCCAGAGAAGCTAATAAAGCTTTTAAGAGGGGGCCCAATATCTACATACAACATGTAACATTAAACAAAAAACTAACACCATAAAACAAATAAATATAGATACAACAATACACAAGCACTACAGACAAACAAACGATTGATCCCCACACGGATATAGTACTTCCAAAATGATCCTAAAGTATATGTTATAAGCAAATTTTCCTTCAGATTTTTTTTGAAGACAGAGATAGAATGCACCAATTTAAGATTTTCTTCAAGCTTGTTCCAAATCTGTGGTCCTCTACAGACCACACTCAGGCTCGTACATTTCAAACGTCTTATTTTACCAGTAATGCACTCTTTTTCCCTTGTGTGATATGTATGCTGGGGTCGACTGATTGGAACAAGCTCACACAATCGGTCATTTAGCTTATGAACAACTTGAAACATCATACAAGCATTGTGAAAAGAATTGTATTCTGTAAGTCTTAATAGACCCAGGCGATGATACAATAGACGGGAGGGGGTATTTGGCTCAGACCATGTCATTACCTGTATAATTTTTTTCTGTAAAGACTGTATTTTTTTCAGGTAGCTAGTAAAAGTGTTACACCATATGACATTGCAATAATTTAAATGGGACTCAAACAAGGTTTTATATAAGGTAACAAGTGCTGACTGAGGGAGAAAATGTCTTACTTTGAAAAATAGTCCAACATATTTTGATAATTTCGTTATTAACTGATCAATATGACATTTGAATTGTAGACATTCATCAATAAAGACTCCGAGAAATTTAATGGTGTTTACTCTTTCAATAATTTGTTCATTTATTTTAAGACAGACATCTTTATTTACCAATTGATTTTGTTTGGAATGAAACACAATATAGTTAGTCTTGTTTATGTTAAGAGATAATTTATTGCACCGAAACCAAATAGCAACATCTCGTAAATCTCTATTTATTGTCTCTACCATTTCGTCTGGATTCTTATGCGACATAAATAGATTTGTGTCATCAGCAAATAAGACCTTGTGTAGAGCCATTGTGGAATTGCCAAAGTCATTTATATAAATTAAAAAAAGAAGAGGGCCCAAATTGGATCCCTGGGGAACTCCACATTTAATGGGTTTACTTATTGAAATTTGCTCATTAATACTCACATATTGCTGTCTACCAAATAGATAACTTCTGAACCAGCTAAGAGCTAATCCTCTAATTCCATAGTGGTGTAATTTTTTTAATAAGATGTCGAAATCAATAGTGTCAAACGCCTTAGATAAATCTAAAAAAACACCAATACCACTCTCACCTTTATCAATGGCATCATTTATCTTTTCAATCAGATCCAGTACCGCCATACATGTGGTTCTTTTCTTCCTAAAACCATATTGAGAAGAAGCAATTATATTAAATTTATCAAGGTAGCCATATAGCCTATTGTACACTACTCTCTCTAGAACCTTAGAAACTGTGGGCAAGATTGATATCGGACGATAATTGCACATATCATTATGTTAACTACTCCCCAACACTGATAATCTGAAATCATATCATTAATTATGAGCGATTTTGAAGTAAGGGATCTGATGTTCAGCAACCCAAGCTTTAGCATTTGCTCATCTGTATTATATCTGTTTTTTATTCAACGCATTCTCATCCTTTAGCGTCATATAGAACGCTATATGACAAAACGGCGCTATACTACGCACATGGCACCCGTTATCATTAATATAACACGCGCTGTGAGGGCTAAGTTTAGGTGTGGGGTAGGGTCTGCGTGTCATATTCACGCTAAAGGATTTATCACGTCTTGGGTTTGCGTGTTATATTAACGATAAAGGGTGCCATGTGCGTAGTATAGCACCGTTTTGTCATATAGCGTTTTATGTGACGCTAAAGGATGAGAATGGGCTGTTTTTATTTGTTGAATATTAATTAAATTTTTAATCTGACGTTTTTTGGATATTCAAATTCAGGGAACAGACAGTCTCTATATGATATCTAGGTGAAAGAGCCTCTATGTGATGGGATTTATCTGACCTTGGTGACGCGAGGCCGCTAGCAGACGGTCGGTTTAGACAGTCTGTCTGCTTCCTGACCTGAGCCCCAGATTGTCGTGTTTGAGTTCTAAGACGATGTGCCATATTACTAGAGAGAAGAGCAGTAGGGGTGTAACGGTACATGTATTCGTATTGAACCGTTTCGGTTCGAGGCTTCCGGTTCGGTACGCATACAAACCGAACGATTGCTTGGACCATTTTTCCTGCCGGCAAAATTCGTTCTGACGCGGCCAACACAACGTTGCGCAACATCAAATGGCAAGCGTAATGAAAGCAGAACGAAACTGCGCTACTCATTATGTGCTTCACGGATCGTTTATCAGTTCGGACCAGCAACATCTGTGCAGCGCGATCTGATCTCGATCAAGCAACACTGTTACTACACTGCGATAAGAGATCCGGTAAAGAAAACATTTGAATTCGCCACTGAGGTAATAACATCGCTGCGAGATCTAGTGAGAAGCATTCACATTTCTCCGTTATTAACCGCAGATCTCTATTAGATCAAACAGCGCCGTCATGGAAACCAGGAGAAACATTGTGCCGTGAATGAACTAGTAATACTTTCGTCCACAGACCAGCAACATTCACCATGGATTTAATATAGTAACACTAACTGGAACCAGTTTGGCTGGAATGGTGAAATGCTTTCAAGTACTTCACTCATCTTTTTCCAGCACTTCAAAATTCAAATATTATATAAATAAATATATATATTTAAATGTTATCTTTAATGTGATGACCAAAACATTATTTGTTCATCCTTCAAAGATGACCCCCATTTATAAACCTGAAATTTTCAAGACCTAGGAAAACTCACACTTATTTAAAAATATTTTTTCTAAATAGGAAATTTCTCTGGCATTTCTTTCTTTTTGCTGTATCGAAAACGTACCGAACCGTGACTTTAAAACCGAGGTACGTACCGAACCGTGATTTTTGTGTACCGTTACACCCCTAAAGAGCAGCACCAGCCCAGGAGGGATTAATACCATCTCTTTTCAACAGGTCAGGCTTGTGCCAAAAACTTTTCCAATTGTCTATAAATTCTACATTATTTTGCGGACACCACTCAGACAGCCAGCGATTAAGTGAGGACAGTCGACTGACTATCTCATCACTCTTGCGAACAGGAAGGGGGCCAGAGCATATTACAGTGCCTGACATCGTACTTGCGAGTTCACACACCTCTTTAATATTAATTTTGGTGATCTCCGACAGGCGAAGTCAAACATCATTTGTGAATAATGATTTTAGAGAATTTACGATTAGCATTAGCCAGCACTTTTAAATTTGCTGTGATGTCAGGCGCTCTGGCTCCCGGCAAACATGTGACTATGGTTGCTGGTGTCTCTATTTTCACGTTCCGTGTGATCGAATCACCAATTACCAGGACACAATCAACAGGATTCTCAGTGGGTGTTTCACTGAGTGGGGCAAATCGATTTGTTATGGGAAGCGGAACGGAAGAGTTAGTATCAGTGTTTCAAAAGACCTAGTCCCCACTTTAGTTGAGGGGTCACACACATGATGAAGTCATTGATAGATAATGCTTAGTTAATGATGACTACTGTATTTGAATGTCAACAGAATGTGCTGTGATTGGTCTATTTTGGGGTCTGTCCAATACAGTAGTCATCATTATCTAAGCATATCTATCAATGACATGATCATGTGTGGCCGTTAAAAGAGCACATCAACTTCAATTCAAGTCACTTTTTTGATAGCACACTTGTAATTTTACTGAAGTCTGGGTCTCTAGAACTTCTCTGCCCTTACCTGTAGATGAAAGATGTTCGATGTTGGTTCGGGGTCATCAGCAGTGCCTCTCACCAGTTCAATCTCGGATTCAAATGCACAGTGCGTTTGCAAAAATTAATATATCGTTACAAAAAATTATGAAATATTGATAGGAAAAGATTACTCTGAGACTTGTTTAAAATGTTTTACGAATCACCACAATGTGATTTCTCTTTATTTAAAAAGATAAGGAGAAATCCAAAGACAAAAAATCCAAAGGCACACATAACATGAACACGTATTCACCCCAAAAATGTGGCTCAGAGAAAAAGGCGATGAAGCTTTTTATTACTATTCTCGTTATATGGCTGTCTTAAAGCTATGGGCTGTCATTATAGTGCAGCCATTCCCTTGAATGGTAAATAATTGGACTCGTACTGGACTGGTCCCTAATGCACACAACCTTGCAAAAAGCACATATTCAAAAACCTTTCCATACTTATTTTATGCAGCACAACCACACAAGCTTATTTGGTCATCTTTTCTATTAAAGGGATACTCCAGCAACTTAAGGGTGAGTAAATCATGACAGAATTTTCATTTTTGGGTAGAGTATCCACCCCTTTAATAGCCGTTGAGAACCCACCCTGACCTCTCACATTTTACAGTCAGGGCAGAAGGTGTTGAAGTGTCTCTTGCAGAATGAACAGGGCCTCAACAGCAGACATCACATCATGAAATCACATTCGGTTTTAAACAGTGACCCTTCGGTTTGCAGTTCAAGCTTGTCTTGCAAATGAAACATTTCATATTCAACCGAATCATACAACTTTTTACAGTCTTCTTTAATTTGTTCACAATTTGTTGGCCACGGCAGATCGGTCTATGTTGGGAAAGTTAAGTCTCAGCAGGAGGTCCCCGCAAGCACCTTCTCTTCCTTCTTCTCAGATTTGCGAACCTTACTGCCGTGATCTCATTGCAGATATTTAACTAAAAGATCGTCCATAAAAATCTTATCTTTCACACATCATATCTCATTTCAAGGGATTTATTATTCATTTATTATAACAAGCTGTTTTATATAGCTAAAACTAACTGGAAGTGAATCACAACCTAAGCCAGACAAATGGCTGTGCCCACTCTTACCTGACATGGATAACATTTCACTGTTGCCGATTTATCATGCAGCTCAAAGTATTATGGGTAGAATATCTGTATAATCTATTCTGATTCATCAACACAGTTTCACTGATGATACAGAACCAACCCAAAACCCCGGATAGAGCGGCTGAGTGAATGTGGTCTGGACTGTGTGTATGAGGATCATTGTGTCTCTGTCGACGCTGTAGAAGGACAGAGTTCCTGCACTGGGATCCACACACACTCCTGTTCTACTGCTGATGGACTTTACAGTGAGTTTAGTCTCTATGTTATTGTGTCTGAATGAGTAACTGTAGTCAAAGCAGTCCAAACTCCACGACTGATCATTAGATCCGAACCGACACTCATTATACTGTCCCTTCCTGCTGATGCTCTTATATGACACTGCTATATACACTTGTCCACTCCACTCAATCTCCCAGTAAGAGCGTCCACACACACTCTCTCTACACAACACCTGAAGCCCATTATGAAATCGGTCTGGATGATCAGGATACGGCTGATCTCTGTTGGTGTGAGTTATCACGCTGTTCTTCTCTGACAGAACAAGTTGTCTATTCATTGTGTTCGGATCCAGAGTGAGCTGATGATAATCTGATGGAGATAAAACACATCACAATCAGGAATTACAAATCTGTTTGATCTTTAAATCTTTTCATGTTCAGTTTATCACAAGTGTCTTAATACAGCTTACCAGATATCCTGTTGAAGTCATCATTTACATTACGTCAATTCTAAAATTGTTCACTCGGTTTAGTTGACCTCCTCCAGGAAGAACATGAACACACACAGTGTTCTACGCCCTTTCACATCACCAGCAACAATTAGCAACTAGCAATTAGCAACAGGATTTAGGCGTGTTCAGCGATGCTACAAAATTGAGAAATGTTTAACTTCATGCCAACGACGCGCGATTTAAGGACTGACGACCAATCTTTATTTATCTTAAAATTAAATAAAACCACTTCTCATAAAGAAACAAGAACAATAAACAGGCAGGCTTGGGTAACTCCACTGCTCAAAAATCCCACATTAAACACGTCAGTTGTAGAGAGTTATAGACCTGTATCTCTCCTACCATTCATAGCAAAAACACTTGAACTTTGAGTTGCTTTCAAGTATCATCTTTCCTGTCTCAGATCAACCAGCTGGATGTCAACCAATCAGGCTTCAAGAAAGGGCATTCAACCAAGTCTGAATTACTGTCAGTCACAGAAGCCCTGCGGATCGCTAAAGCTGCTTCCAAATCATCAGTCCTCATCCTCCTGGACCGGTCTGCTGCCTTCAACACGGTGAATCATCAGATCCTTCTGTCCACCCTCTCATCACTGGGCATCACAGGTACTTCCCTCCACTGGTTTGAGTCCTATCTCACAGGTAGGTCCTTCAGGGTCGCATGGAGAGGCGAGGTATCCAAAGCACATCAACTGACCACAGGGGTTCCCCAGGGTTCAGTGCTTGGACCGCTCCTCTTCTCCATTTACACCACAGCACTGGGTCCCATCATACAGGCACATGGTTTCTCTCACCATTGCTATGCTAATGACACCCAGATCTACCTCTCATTTCAACCAGATGATCCCTCAGTAGCTGCATGAACCTCAAGCTGTCTGGCGGACTTCTCGTCCTCCCTGCCAATCCGTCTCTACAGCACGACTTCACTATCCAGCTAGATTCTTCTTCAATCACCCCATCAAGGTCGGTCAGAAATCTTGGAGTAACCTTTGATGACCAGCTGACCTTCTCAGACCACATTACAAAGACATGATGTACAACATCAGGAAGATCAGGCCTATCCTAACTGAGCAGGCGACAACAACTTCTCGTCCAGGCCCTGGTCATTTCTGGCTGGTCTTCCATTGTGTGCAGTTAAACCCCTACAAATGATTCAGAACACTGCAGCTCGACTTGTCTTCATCGAGCTCAAAAGGGCCCACGTCACTCCTCTTTTTATTTTTCTGCACTGGCTACCGCTCGCATCAAGTTCAAGACATTGACGCCTGCTTACAGATCAACCACAGGCTCAGCTCCCTCTTACTTTCACTCGTTAAGTTCCGTTTTTGTTTGTTAGTTTTAGGGCTGTTTTCTACTAAGGATTTTCATAGTGGAATCTGATTCGTTAGATTTTGCCGTAGTCGACTGATAGTCGAACCTTTTTTTTTTTTTTTAGATGGGTCAGCTATATTTTTTCCATTTCAAACAAAAGAGATGGACGTATGTGCATTAGGCTATTCGTTCTGTGTTTTCTTTTTTTCTAAACAGTTAGGCTATGTTTAGGTAGTATTTTTCATGTTTTTATCACGCAATCATGTTTTTGATGCGGTGGTGAGCTTGTAACTTGTAACTTAACGCTTTAGCCTAAGGGTAGCAGCAGCGCTGCCAAAAATAAAAAGCTGTCACAAAGAACAAATATAGCAAGGAGACATTTTAATTGTTTATTAATAAAGATGAAGTTGACGATGCTGCACGATCTTCGCATAGTGCATGCGCCAGAGAGAAATGCACAGTTCATTTCATAAGCAGAGAGCATTACGTTTTCTTTCGTTTTGAATCGTTCTATTTACAAGTAGACATTTCAATATAGATATATTTTTAAGGTCTGTGGAGTAAACTATACTTGTACGCTGAGTTGCGGTAGCTATATTTATGAGACAAGCTCCAGTTCACACATCGGTGCCTCCATGTCTTAATTATCAATAATTGTCTGCTTTTCCTTCCTTTTTGATTAAATCAAGACAATTGATTAATGAAACATTAATTAAAAATCAAGAAAAATTATAAAAAAAAACGAAATTCACTTTAAAGAAAGGCTTTGTGCTTTTCTGTTTGAGGTCTGTGAAAGTTTTAAAGCAGTCTTTAAGTGCTTCTCCAGAGCGCTCGTGTCCGTCGGAGAACTGTCACGTCTGTAACATTGTTTTTTCCTCTGTGAACATGAAAAGTAATATTTTGTTTTGTGGAGAGCCAACCGTTCCTCATCTGATTTGAGCAGTGTAATTCACAGAATTACAAAAAGTATATTTTGCCTCCTAAAACTTAAAGATTTTTTGTCATGCATGAATGCCTGTCTATTTCAGGCTAAATATAAAACGCATGTATACCGTATTTTCTGCACTTTAAGGCGTGCCGGATTATAAGGCGCATAAGATACTGCAGTCAAACGTTTGACTGGGTTTGCGTTATGCTAGATGTGCTGGGAATGTAGTGGCGTCGGAGGTGAGGCGTTTATTAGTGTGAGCGCGCTGGGGCGGGCACGTAACTTACATTCGCAGCCTGACTCATATGAGTATTCAATGTGCGGCGGCTCGCTGAAAGCAACGGCTGGCTGTTTTGAATGAGACGACCCGGTTACTGTGAACAGGGAGCGCTTGATGGACATTCTGTGACGCACGAGCAGCGCCGGGGACAGTGTGTCTGTTCGTGTGTCTGTTAAGAGTGAGCGGTCGTGAGCGGGAGACACACATAACCTGATTTATACGAGGTTGAACTGGCCGTGTACTATTCGACTATAACGTTCATAGTCGAATCAGACCTCTCCGAATCGAATCGTCGAATCCTCGACTATTAGAAGTCAGCCCTAGTTAGTTTTATGTTTTGTTTTGTTGTAAATAAACTGCAATAGGTTCTCCAAGCTTGCCATCTGTGGACTGTTGTTAGAGAATACAAGACCGGCAACAATGAACCCAGTAGTTGCCCTCCTGCATCTACGCCAGATGAATCGTCCTCTGGAGACTTACATCAAAGACTTTTGCAAAGTGGATGACCGTGTGGATTTTAATGATGTGGCTACAAAGGACATTTTTCATTTGGGGTTAAATTAACCCATTTGTTCATGGCTCCCTGGGGGTAAGATACACAGATTGCATCGACCATGCCCTTTCTCTGAGCAGTTTCTCGTTTACTGTGGTAATTGTGTGTGAGGGGCTCCACAAATCAAATTCTGGAGGCAGGGCAAGTGTCGAGCACAGAGGAGGCGAGACACGAGGAAAAAGAGACAAGATCTTAGGGAAGTGATTAATAGAAGTGTATTAGAAACATTAGTGCGACAGCACTTGGAATGCCCATGAGCGACTCATAGTCTAGTGAAGTTGAGTGTCAAAGTCATTGGTGGTGTGAATGCAGCTTTAGTGACTTACATTGTAAGAGGTCGTTCCTGGTCTTAGAAACAATGTTGGTGAATGTGACTGTGGAACAAAGATGAACAGTGTGATTCTCATGAGATTCCTATGCATCTGTTCCTAAGACATTTCTATTATGATGTTCTACATGAAATGAGATGATGGAGGACTCATTTCTGAGAGCAGATGAATCTCCAGGATTTTACCTCTGTCTGAGATCTTTTTTATCTCCTCTTTGCAGAAATCCTCCAGTTTCTCTCCCAGCTGACGGACAGATTCTCTCAGGCCATCAAAAGAGAAGAGAGAACTGAAGGGGATTTTGGGTACCTCTGTAGATTCGGGAGGTGCTGAGAGAGACTGGAAACTCTACAGAAAACAGAATCTTATCACCTCCACAATGAATGATGGCATTTATACTAAACAAATATCCATGTAACAAAACATTCATGACCATACACAGGATTTTAATTACTACGAGGTCCAACATCTGAGCTTGCTAAGGGGATTCGGAAAACATGTACCCATAGCAAGATATTTGTACTCAGTTTTTGAGTAATGTCCCCACAGCTGATTCTAGTGACCTGCTCTTCCTACTTTCTTGAAACATTTCTCATTAAGTCTCCTGTCATTGCAGGATCTCTCTCAAGTCCACTAGATCTCTGTTACCTGCCGGAACTGGATGTGATCCTGTGTGTGTGAAAGCTGCTCCAGCTCGGCGTCTCTCATCCTCAGATCATTGATCTCCTGCTCCAGTTGCTCCAGTCCTACTTCGGCTCGACTCAGCGCAGCCTGTTCCTGATCTCTGATCCGCTGTGTCACCTCAGAGCTGCTTCTCTCAATGGAGCGAATGAGCTCCGTGAAGATCCTCTCACTTTCCTCCACGGCTGTCTGTGCAGAGCGCTGTCGAGCACACATCACAGTCACACAGTGGGCTTCAGTGGGAATGGAAGAGGGCAGTCCTAACCAAGACATCTCAGACTCACCTTATAGGACTCCACAGCCTCCTTCAACTGCTGAAGGTCTTTCTCTCGCTGCTGGATTCTCTGCTTGAATGACCTCTGCGTTACCTTCAAGTTGATCTGGATGACAACACAAATGGTCCATGTAGGTTGCGTTCATCCATTGTTTTAATCAACATTGATAGAGGTAAAATGAAATAATGGTGAATTTTAATACTTTTTCCTGACAGAATTTTTTTTTTTCGGTTTTGGTTTCAGGGATAGAAAATGGACAAACAATTTTAACATTAAATTTCCACATGTCAGGCATTAAACCTTCCCTGATCGCTGCTTTAGTTTTAGGATATGTAGGATTCTTGAGAAGTTAACTGCAGGCTATATAACCTCATATAACAATCAGACTAAAGAATGCCTTGACAAACTGTACTGGGCAGTGCCATGCAGACAGGGCTTTCTTCTGGGCAGGAAAGGTTTGGCAACCTATGTGTCCAGGAAAGGATGTTCATTTCGTTAGTATTAATGTCCCCTCTATCTGCACCCACTTTAGCCCTTAGCATACTTGGCACATCACCCGTTTTATTTAGCTGTCCAACTATTAAAATCGTTATGGCAAAGCTATGCAACCCACTGGACAGCAAGGAGGAGATCAATTTACATTGCAGTGAAACCATCACAGAAGGATCGAGTGTGAGGATCGAGTGTTCTTTACAAAACAGTCAGAGGTGTTTACACAATAAAACATGACGGGGGAGACCTTTCTTGCAGGTTCCCACAGAAGACAAGTGTAAGGGCAATAGTCAGATGAGACTGAGACTGAGGCTGAGTGTATATATACAGTGATATGAGATGATTGTGAGCGTGCAGAAGGCATGACAGAAGCTATCCCTTTGGGGTATATCATACATGCTATTTGTTCCTCAAAGTGGTACAACAGTCCAACTTTAATATTTTTATATTTATTGCCATCTCCACTCCAGTCCGATTTTTCACTGCATTTCTGGCCTTGTTGTATTTATTAAACACCACAGTCTCATCATCCATTTTCTAATCCTGAAAATAGTCAAGCCAAATTCTTGTTGCTTTACATTTTATTTTGTGAAAACTTTCACGTTTTGAAATGTTTGAAGTTTTTTGCTTCATCTGAATGGGATGACACTTGATGGGGTGACTTTTGTTGTATTAGGTATGTGAACACACAAAAAAAGCATGGACATAATTCGGATATGTTAAAGGGTCATAAAAAATAGTCACACTTGGCTCCTTCACGGGCAGAAATTACTGACAGGGAATGAATGAGAAATACAAAAAAATTAATTTGGTGGTACAAACTACAAATCAGCCACTGTGCAGAAAAAAAGTGCACAGCAATGAAGGAGTTACACTCTAAAATATCAAGAGTGCAAATAAGACCCCCCCCCACACACACACACACACACACACACACACTCACTCACACACACCAACAATTATTGTGTTTGCTCTTATTTAGCCTAATAGGTGTTCCTGATACCTGTTGCATATGCAACAATACATAAATAATACAGTTGATGTAACAACACAACTGCAGTTACAATAATATTTATTATTATTATTACATTTTTTCTGAATAAAACAGCAATTCATTGCAAAATGTCTGAATAAAGTGTTTTGAATTATCACTATCATTCCTTATTTTGTTAGATATTTTAACGATCAAAAACTGAATAACAAAAATGCTTGCATCCAAATGTTATTGTTTGATTGTTATCATAATGCAAAACCTGATACATATCTAACAAAAAAATATAAAAAAAGTAGTATTTTAGAATATCTATATATATATATATATATATATATATATATATATATATATATATATATATAGCTAAATAAAAAAATGAAAAAAAAAAATTGAAATCATGTCTAAAAAAACAATGGGAATCAAAATGCCTCTCAGTGGGTCTCATTAGAATGAATTTTTGTGTAAATCGTGTGTAAAGTGGTTCTGGCGTCAATTTTCGGATTCATTAAAATGTTTATATTTTCCAAACGTTAGTTGGTACGAAAGAAATCTACACCTGCTCCCAGCCACGCGTAAATGGTGCGCTTAACATCCGAACGTCTTGCTCATTAATAAGGCTGCATTTTAATTCACCTTAATCAGGTACATCTTCACACAGCATTTTGAAAAAATATTATGTTTATCAATTACATACATTTTTTTCTTTTTACTTGTATTATGGGAGCCAGTAATATCATCTGCGATGGTGATCCTCCTCCAGTTTGAATACGATTTTTCCCAAGTGAACTAATTCGTTTTTTGCTGTCAAGCTTAACGTCGAACCATTTTCTTTTCACTTCTGGGACTGTTCGATTAACAGATGAAACTCCATTAACTGCATCTGTAATATCCTGCCAAGCTTCCTTTTCTTATAGGACCTGATAGGCCACTATGTACGCTTGAAACTAAAATGTGGCGTTTTGAATAAACTTCTGATAATAAAACTTCAATTTCTGCATCTGAGAAATTTTTCTTTTTCATTCACATTCTAGTCATAATATGATGCCCATATATTGTTGTCAGTCGTATTTAATTCATTAACACACACACACACATTTCACGTCTGACGTTTACGAAGTATTTGTGAATCAGGAGAAGAGTTTTCGGGACGGTCTCTTTACGCGCAAATCACTCTCATATTTACTTATATATTTATGAATGTTTCATGAATGAGACCCTATGTATTTATATAGGGAGCCATAGTAAACCCTACAGGCGGTTACACGACATTACATTACATGGTGGCCTACACTCTGTATATATATATATATATATATATATATATATATATATATATATATATATACTGTAATGGGAAAAAAATGCTCCTAAAAATGTTCAAATTATTGCATAGTAACATAGAAACCTTCACAATCAAAAAATATAAATGAACAAAAATATATTACATTGGTTTTCCTGAAAAAAAAAAGTTACATTTTAAGGCTTCGGTCACTTTTGACCGGGAAGAAGCCAAGTGTGACCACTAAACGAAGAGGACCAGAGAGTTAAATAAATGTCAAGGTCGGTCCGTGAAACTTCTGGTAATTTGATTTTCTACTTAAAGAGAAATAAAGAGGCATGAGAAATGGTTTGATTTTTGTTTTTCCAAGATGAGTTGAAAAGGGCTGTTTCAGGGCTACCCACTCATTCGAAACAAATAATCAATAAAACAATACAAGTGACGTCGGGTCGACGCTTTTTTAAAAAATAATATTTTGCAGCATGCTTTGTTCAAATTTATATGGTATCTTGAAGTGAAACAGATGTTTATTATATTGTGTATGTAACCGTTGGGTTCAATAGTTCTAATATGTGTAATGTTGCATACTTGCAGCAGGCTATCTGCAACATTTGGGTTCACACGTTATAATTTATCATTTATAAAGGACATTGCAGAAAGTGGTAACCTGATTTTGTAAGAGATTTTTCTACTTGAGCTAGCTTGAGCACTCGTGTCAGTGTCATCATTAAACCGAGACTCGTAGCCTAATGCCTCAGAAACACGATCTGCCTGTTTACATGACAGTCGCATTGGCACATATCTGATTTATATCTCATTTATTTCCTCATATGAACGAGGCCTGAAACCGATCTAGAAATATCCGAATGCATGCACCCTGTTTACACGGTCATAGAACACATTCAATCTGTGTCACAAATGAGCAATACGTCGGAATTAGGTCACATTTGACAGTGTAAACGAGGCCTTAGATGACCAGAAGCTACACGGACCATGGACCACACATACATCTAGAGTACTAACACAATCCTCACTGAGTGGTCGATGATCTAGCATAGAAACAGACTGTAGGTTCAAGCCACACATGGATATGACATTATAAATGAACATGATGCAAGTGTCAGCATTTTTTCATCATTGCCTAGTTTTAAAGGGTTAGGTTCACTCACCCTCATGTTGTCCCAATCTGGTACGATTTTCCTGTCTATTGTTTCATGACACAAAATGAGGCGTTATATGCAATTTGGGTTCTGTATACTGATCAATGATTTGAGACTGAATAATTATTTTCAGAAGAAATTTACTACTTCAGAAGACTTGGATTAAAACACTGGATTACTTAAAAAAACATAATTAAAACAATATATAATACATTTACACTTAAAAGCATTTTTGTATTGTCAAAATGATATCCTAATAAATGTAATTTTAACAGATCAGCCTTATCAGTGTTTTGTCCTGTACTTGCTGCTTGCAATTGTACTTTCTCTTGCACCTACACAGGGAGTCCATATGACTAAAATAAGAATAAACTCAAATTTGGGGTTTCTCTGTATAGACAGCCATCAATATTTACCCCCTATCGGTTCGGATTCGGCTCCGACAAGTGCAGGATCCTCAACGCTGGCCTCAGCCTGAGCTGTGTGAGAGAGAAGGACAACCACACAAACACATCAGCAATGCAAAGAGCAAAGATTAAGTCAACAGTGCATTTGTTCTGTGAAACACCAATAACACACTAATATTATATTTGAAACCAGAAATAGGCTTTATATCTTTAAAAAAAAATGCTTCGATTTTGTTTTGAAATGGAAAATTTAACGTTTTGACTTTACCCAGTTACCTTGCTTGTGTCTGTCCTCTAACTTGTCAGCCACATGGTTCTGGTTCATCTTCCTCAGGATCTCCACCATGATCTTCACAGCTTCTTCCGGTCCGAAACGCTTCATCATCAGATCCACTGTGTCAGGGGGGTCTGCCTTATCCAGAGCAGCGCTTGAAACACAGTAATGATTCTTGAAACGCCATTTAAACCTCTTCAGTTCATCTGCGTCTAGATCATCCAGTGCGGCCAGAAGCTGTTCTGAAACAGACGCCATCGTCCTTCACTGATTCACTTCTGCAGGACAAGAAGAAAAGAGCTGATCAGTCATCGGATCCGTGTTCAACCACTGGCTTGGAAAGCTTTTCTTTAAAACTAAGCTACACAACAACAGGAAAACAAGTTAAACCAGTTTTTCAAAAGACACAAGCCTGCATCGTGAATGAATGATGGGGAGAGTCTCAGTAAAAACAAACAGCTGGTTAAGGTAGTTAGCCAGCCCAGACAGCAAACTGACAATGAATCAACGTGGAAACGACATCTCTCATGACACTGAAACAACGTTGATTTGCTCATCGAATTAACGTTAAACCAACGTCAGACGCGGCATTCTTCAAAGCTAAATGAAAATCGAAAATTGGTTGCTTTCATAACGTTGAAACAACGCGTTGATTTCAAGTTGATTTTCCGTTAGTTTTAAAAGGATGACACGTCTGACGTTGGTTCAACGTTAATTCGATGAGCAAAACAATGTCAGATCAACATTGTTTCGATGTCATATTTCCACGTTGATTCAATGTCGGTTTGCTATCTGGGAGGTTTGTTTGAGTTTAGTTAGTGCCAACCCTTGAACGTTACTCTGCTTTTAGCAGTGTTCATTGCAATAGTATCGTACGCTCCTCGGCTAACCTAACCAGCTAACATTTATTCATTTATCTGACGCTTTTAACCAAAGCGACTTACAATTGCTATATACACTCACCTAAAGGATTATTAGGAACACCTGTTCAATTTCTCATTAATGCAATTATCTAATCAACCAATCACATGGCAGTTGCTTCAATGTATTTAGGGGTGTGGTCCTGGTCAAGACAATCTCCTGAACTCCAAACTGAATGTCAGAATGGGAAAGAAAGGTGATTTAAGCCATTTTGAGCGTGGCAGGGTTGTTGGTGCCAGACGGGCTGGTCTGAGTATTTCACAATCTGCTCAGTTACTGGGATTTTCACGCACAACCATTTCTAGGGTTTACAAAGAATGGAGTGAAAAGGGAAAAACATCCAGTATGTGGCAGTCCTGTGGGCGAAAATGCCTTGTTGATGCGAGAGGTCAGAGGAGAATGGGCCGACTGATTCAAGCTGATAGAAGAGCACCTTTGACTGAAATAACCACTCATTACAACCGAGGTATGCAGCAAAGCATTTGTGAAGAACACACACAACCTTGAGGCGGATGGGCTACAACAGCAGAAGACCCCACCGGGTACCACTCATCTCCACTACAAATAGGAAAAAGAGGCCACAATTTGCAAGAGCTCACCAACATTGGACAGTTGAAGACTGGAAAAATGTTGCCTGGTCTGATGAGTCTCGATTTCTGTTGAGACATTCAGATGGTAGTGTCAGAATTTGGCGTAAACAGAATGAGAACATGGATCATCATGCCTTGTTCCCACTGTGCAGGCTGGTGGTGGTGGTGTAATGGAGTGGAGGATGTTTTCTTGGCACACTTTAGGCCCCTTAGTGCCAATTGGGCATCGTTTAAATGCCACAGCCTACCTGAGCATTGTTTCTGACCATGTCCATCCCTTTATGGCCACCATGTCCCCATCCTCTGATGGCTACTTCCAGCAGGATAATGCACCATGCCACAAAGCTCGAATCATTTCAAATTGGTTTCTTGAACATGTCAATGAGTTGACTGTACTAAAATGGCCCCCACAGTCACCAGATCTCAACCCAATAGAGCATCTTTGGGATGTGGGGGAACGGGAGCTTCGTGCGCTGGATGTGCATCCCACTAATCTCCATCAACTGCAAGATGCTATCCTATCAATATGGGCCAACATTTCTAAAGAATGCTTTCAGCACCTTGTTGAATCAATGCCATGTAGAATTAATGCAGTTCTGAAGGAGAAAGGGGGTCAAACACAGTATTAGTATGGTGTTCCTATTAATCCTTTTGGTGAGTATATGTCAGAGGTCGCACGCCTCTGGAGCAACTAGGGGTTAAGGCCCCGTCCACACTACTGCGTTTTCGTTTAAAAACGGAGAATTAAAACGAATACGATCTCCGTCCACACCAGCGTTTTGTTTGCGTATTAGAATTGATCTCCGTCCACACTAAAACGACTGAAAACGCAGATCACGTGACCATTCACCAACACTGGGCATGCGCGCGCCGGTGTAAACAATGGTTGGCGAATCAGGGAAGGACACGTCATGACTGATGACACCCAATCATAGAGCCGAGCGTGAGCCTCCGCGTCATCGTTTGTAAACTCCTCCGTTTTGTCTCGTCCACACTAAAACGCCCTCCGGAGTTTCAAAACGCAAAACGGAGCTGCAGCGTTTCTAAACTTCTCCGTTTTAGGTCTTCGTTTTTCCCGTTTTAGTGTGGACGGGAGGTGCAAACGTAGCAAAAGGTCTCCGTTTTTAAACGAAAACGCAGTAGTGTGGACGGGGCCTAAGTGTCTTGCTCAGGGACACATTGGTGTCTCACAGTGGATTCAAACCCGGGTCTCTCACACCAAAGGCATGTGTCTTATCCACTGAGCCATCACCACCCTGTTTATTAAACCACCAACCAGTTTGTTAAAATGAGGGCTGAAAATTATCATTTATCTACCCAAAAATATTTCCACTTTTGTTTTATACCAAATGAACAAATGGATTAAGTATCATCTTATATTTCTTTTTGTGTGGATAATATTATACCTACTAAGTGGGTCACGATTTTCCCTGATAACAAACCCTGGGTGACTAAGGACCTAAAGGAAATTTGGAATAAAAAAAAGAGGGTCTTCTTTACCGGCTCGGAGCTAGAAAAGAGAGATGTTAACAGAGAGCTCAAATGTGCCATAAAAAATGCAAAACTGAGATACAATAATAAGGTAGAGTGAACATTTGCCCAGGGCAACCTCCGTACTGCATGGCAGGGCCTTAGAAGTATGGCAGCAGTTAACTCCAGTCCTTGCAGTCGCAAGCCCATCCAGGTTGCAGGCTGTAGCCCAACCTCGTTATCTAATGACCTGAACATATTTTTCAACAGATTTGAGAAAGATAACAGCTCTGCTCTCAAAAGGATAGTTTCTTTGCTCGATCCTGGTGATTGTGGTATCACTATCGACACTGGAGAAGTGGTCGGCGCCTTCAAGAGGACTAAAGTAAATAAGGCGCCAGGTCCAGATAATATCTGTGGGCAGACCCTTAGGCACTGTGCTGAGCAAATGGGAGGTGTATTCCTATACCTGTTTCAGTATTCCATCAATCACTGCAGAGTCCCCCAGCTGTTGAAGCACTCAACGGTGATTCCAATACCCAAGAAGGGTACTACCAAAACCTTGAACGACCTCAGGCCTGTGGCCCTGACCTCGCTGGTGATGAAGGCCATGGAGAGAATCATAAAGGATTACATCACCAGGGTATCTGATCCAATGATGGATCCACTTCAATTTGCATATCAGGTGGGTAGGGGGGTCGACGATGCGAAAATCTTCATCCTAGACAATATCCACAAACATCTGGAAACTCCAAACTCCTCAGCCAGAATTCTGTTTCCTGACTTTTCGTCTGCATTCAACACCATGTGGCCACACATCCTGGCAGAGAAGCTCATTAACCGCTTTCGTTTGAGTCATCAACTTATCTTGTGGATTATAGATTTTCTAACCAACAGGACACAGAGGGTTTTGGTCAATGACACCTTCTCAGAAGTTCAGAGTACGTCAACAGGTTCGCCACAAGGGTGTGTCCTTTCTTTCCTCCTCTACATCCTCTACACAGATGACTGCAGGCCTACTCAGTCAAACTGTCACATTGTCAAATTTGCAAATGACTCAGTCGTCCTTACGTCCAATTGTTAAAGTGTGCTCCAGAATTATTGTAGACAACCTACATGAACCACTGAGCCACTGCTGAGCCAAGTCAGGAGCCATCTTTGGAAAACAGTCTCGAGCAGTCGACTTATCGAAACTATTTTTTAAGATGGCTCCTGTCTGTATACACGAAGTGGACTGTCTTTATAAAATATCTTCTTTTTAAACGGTCTGTATGGACCCTCATTATGTTACTGTGTTAGTATGGGGCTATTTTGAGCCTTGTTATTGGTATTAACTAGCGATTTTTATTTTTCTTAACTGTATGACCTATATACTAGCGTTATAAGCTAAACAGTTTAGAGATAAAACTCTTTACATTCGATTATCATGAAAACACATCTCAGAGAACGGTCGACCAATGTGTTATTAGACCAAAGGTTCATTTTGCGCCAGAGTTGTCCTTTAAGATTACACCCCTATTTTAATATTTACACTCCTGTTTCGTATTTTTCACAAGTGTTTACTTTTTCTCGTGTTTTACGACAATGGTGGATGACATGAGCCGGCTGGGGAAGCTTACTCTCTTGCAGAATAAATAAATAAATATATACAAAGAAAAAATAAATTACTAAAACTATTTACAAGATAAGTCATGTTCAAGATCAGAAAAAAACATTTAAATTTAAAAAAATATTTTTAAAAACTATATTTATTCCAATAAATTTACTTTTCTTTCTTTGTTTTTTGAGTTGTCAATAAGTAAAAAGTGTTAATATTTCCGTAACTTAATAATTTAATATTAATATTTAAAATAAGCATCTATCTGGAACAACATGCTAAAGACTTTATTTAGGTTTAGGGTTAGGCTTTATTTTTCATATTTTTGGATGGGATATGGTTCGAGATTATGGCTGGAACGATGAAACCAAGACGGGAACACACGCACAAGGCACTGTTTCCAAGATTTTATGGTAAAGGCGCTGGTTCAGCAAGAAAAATGCTGAACTTGTCACGCATTAAGTTTCATTCTTTTGTATTTATGTTTGAACATTTGATTAACAACTTATGGCTGAACAAATGAACCCTTTAGAGATAAGAGGAAATGGGAATATAAAATATATGATTTGGATGTAGATTTGGACATGTCTGAGACATGCCTCAGAAAGGACATGCCTCACAATTTAATTCTGTGCAAGTTTTATAGTGAGGATGAATTCAACTTAAATGTTAAATTAGACAATTATTTTCTTTATACAAACCTAGATACATTAAAAAGTCAGTTTGATATTATCGCTTTTTCTGAAACATGGTTCAGTGCTGTCAATGGTTATGATTTGTG